TGAACACTTCAGATGCACTTCAGACGCGTAGTAAGTCATTAATAGGGAGCACTAAAATAATTCTCGAGTATTGGTTTCCAGATTTAATAAAATGATCTTACATACTAATAGAAAATTACAGACAAGTAGTATAATTTTCTAGACGAAATTTCTATTAATAATCGAATTTTAAAATAATTTTTACATTTATGGAGACAAAATGTACTAAAACACTTCGAAAGCAGATTCAAAAACATAGATTTAGCAAAGTGTATTAATCTGTGCAAAATTAGCAAGGATAAATCTTTTTTCTTAGATGAAATTTATGTTCACTCCAACTGTGTATACAAATTTACGTATATCTGCAGGAGCAGTTACATTGGGCAAACAGAAGGAAAGGCACACCTCCGATTTTCTGAACATGTACCGAAAAGCCTACCTCTCAAAGGAACAAACGCTTTTAATAGTGTCATTGCTAAGCATCTCCTGTTCATAAAGATCATGAGGTGGGAATCGCAAAATCCTTTAAAATTATCAGCAGACGAGGGCGCTCAATTCCCCTCCAGTTTGGCGTAGCGATCTGTATCAGCGCCTGAAACCCAATTTATGTGTTCAGAATGAAGTAGTTATCAGTCTTTCATTGCTACCTTGGTAACTGGATGTCTTTATTCTCTCTTTTATTCGATTACGTAAGCTTTGGCTTTAATCTCATTACCCCTCCACGATGTAGTATAATTTTGCTTGTCTCCTGTTTCAATGAATTGTGTTGAACTCCGTATATTATTACTCAATCTATTGGTTACCCATTATCTTAAGTACCTCTCATCTTCGTTGAGCAACTTCTATACCATTGTAAGCATTTATTTTGTTTAAACTTGAACTACCTGTGTAAAACCTATATAAGCGTAATTTTCTAAGAACTGTTCACTAAGGTCGGAACATCCTGTCAACCGTGTATCTCGTAATAGCGAAAGCAATATCAAATCAAAAGTTCAATTCCCTGCTATTTATTCGTAAGAATGACATCCCACCGTTGTTTCTGCCATGGCAATCATAAAAACGTAAATCCTGTAAGTAATGATCATCATATTACCTTTCTTATCCAATCTTCCTATTTATTTCAGTTAATTTGTAACGACTGAAGACAAGGGTCAGGCTAAAGATCTTTTGTTGAGAAAATCAAGAGATATTTATAAATTTTTGTGTGCGTTAATTCTAGTAGAGAAGCAACCTCTTCTGATTGACCGTTTTCCTACTGAGGGTTATTGCGTTATCGCTTTTGTGGCCGTTTCTCAGAAAAATCAAGTCATATATCTGTGAATCACATATCCACAGGTTTATTCCACTGTGATTGGCTGGTAATTTCTCAAGGTTAAGCTTGGTTATAGTTTCTTTCTCATGACCCTGATACGGGGCGTGAATATTGACGTAAATTATCGACTTGCAATTTGACGGCAGCCTGTAGACGGCCGTAGGTCATTTGATCAGCTGATGAATATTGGCGTTATTTTTGGAAATGACGTCAAGGTTAGGTCATCTTTCGTTGTTTTACACACTTTTCTACATATATTCCAGTTAAAAGTTGATGAAATACGGCGTATTTAGCAGAAATAGGCAATGGTGGTGTCCTTATCCGGCCGTAGCTTACAGGCAGTTTGCAGTTTGTTGGAAAAACGTACTTTTCTGTTCAAAATACGTCGAATTACTTGAAGAAACATGTTATAATGATCTTTTCGTGAATTTTTCTTGCATTTTAATGGATTACACATGAACATGACGAGGTGGGATAGCTCGTTTCAGTAATTACATCATTTACTTGTTTAATTTTCGTAATGCTGACAAGGCTACTCCATATGTATTTCTTTAGGAAAAATCTGCAGAAATACTTAGAAATTATACACACAAAGTAATTCCTTTTTTTATGGCATAAACTTGATGTTTGCAGGCAGATGCAATATGGATTTTATATTATTGAAAACTGTTGACTTACATAATTATATACAATTCAAGTAATTATTTTGTCATTTTAAACATATTTAATGGTTAGTTATTGTGTTAACACTGATAAAAATGTCTATATCTGTATATATCATATGTCCTTTTTCAGATAATATCTACTTTCGGGAATTTCATGGATTTCGTTGATAAAGAAAAAGATACCTGCACTGTTGTCGATTTTGTATTATATGTTAATTCATTAATAAATGTATTCCTTGTTATTCGTTTGTTTATTCTACTTGATAAGACCGAATATTAGCCCTTGCGTAATATGTGAGGCATAGAGTATATGAGGCATAGAGTATATGAGGCTATCTTTGAAATACTAAGTAGGAGCAGATATTTGGAAAAGCCTATTGGTAAAAGATTATGTTGTAGTCAAATAAAGTAAACATGCCTAAACCGTAGAAGAGGTCTTGCGATTATAAAGCGTTTCGAGTTATATATCGTCTCAGCAGAATACGTAAACTGATTCCCGATTCATAGTCACCAATTGAGAATAAGTCTACCTGAGATAGTTTGCTTGTGATTTCTGCATGTCGCAATGTATCATAAGGAGAGACTATACCGATGCTGTTAGATGTATAACTCAGTGCAACTACGGTTATCGTAATAATTAAAACAGAATGCCTAGGGTTCTCAGCCAAAGAACACGATACGTTGCTATCTGCTCATATAATCACGTAAACAAAAGTCTTCCAGACGCCGCATTTACTCCTAACAGTTTACCCTCAACTTCTAATTTAGCACGTGTTACTTATGTTACTGGAACGCAATCGCATTACAACAGAAGGAACACAGATTCATTGAAAAATTGTTTATTAAACAAAAATCAGATTTTAAATGTACAGATAATTCAGATGAGTAGTCCTTTGTTACCGTCAGTAAGTTCCATCTGAGAACACGGCACATATATGTTTTTCCATAAGTCTGAAAAGGTTTAAGAAAAGCATAATTAACTTGGGTATTACATGCATGATCTGAATAAAACATTTTTCCTGATAAGCATTTACAAGTAATCACTTTACAAACAATATATATATGTACATATAAGTAGCCCAATAGTTTTCACTAAACTTAAGGGACTTCGCAACCTATCGCTGGTCGATATCTAGTAGGTCCATTGAAGCATCATGAAATGATAAAATTATCTAACAACAAGTTATGCAGTAGTTTTCAAAGCTTGTACAAATATTTTAGCAAAAATGACAACCACTTTATGACAAATAATAGGTATTGACAGCAATAACAATGTTCATAGTGACTATAAAAACAATAATAGGTATTATCATCGCAACGAATTCATCATTAACTTAGATAGACAACTAATAATTATACAATCATGTCAAATAAATATATCACTTAATCTTAAGAAGCATGTGTTTACTTACTTTCACTGTATTCTCTCAATACTGATGTGCTCAACAAGCTTATTTCAACTGAATTCAAAATTAATTCTGAAAGTGAGTGACTATCCAGCTTATGTCAAATAAAAACATGTAGCTTACATGTATTACACTGCTTACTGAGACATCTGATACCTGCTTTCCTATCTTCATGACAAGAACACAGATTATCTAGGTTTACCTACATATACATAAGTATACGTATATGCTGCGTCAACCATGCCGTTTTTATCATGATTAACCAGACCGCTGTGCATATTATACTTATTTGAGGATCTCTGAAAATAACTGTCAAGCGATAATTGAATTTGCGTGAAGTTATTACCTCTTCAGAACATTGTTTGCGTTCTCGTCACTCCTGAGAAGTCCTTACATATTGATATGTCATGAATTCGTTGAATTCAGCAAATAAATACACTGGTATATCATTTCTCTCCTGAGCTGTAATGGTTTGCGCTGTCAGTTATAGATTGTACGGAGGATTTAATCATGAGCTAACATCAGTTTGAGAACCACTGGAAAACCAGGTGGGAGTACTGGAAAACTGTTTCATCCTAGTTTGGGACTCTTCATCAGTACTCACCCATCAACAGCAGGGCTTGAACACAGGCCCTTCTGGTTACAAGGCCAGAAGGTCCTGGGTTCTAGTGGGAAGCCGTGACCAGTAGGGTACAGCACGTTGAAGATGAGGCAGTAACTCATCGAAAAAGATATTGCGAAATGCTCGCGCTGTGTTGTGGATTGGCAGAAGTTAGAATTCATGGACCGGCCATTGGATCGGGTCCCAGTAGCTCAATTGTCTACGAGCTCGCTGGCCTTGTAACCAGAAGGGCCTTGTTTCGAGCCCCGCTGTTGATGGGTGCGTACTGATGAAGAGTTCCAAACTAGGACGAAATGGCTGTCCAGTACTCCCACCTAGTTTTCCAGTGGTTCTCTAACGAATTCCAGCTCATGATGAAATCCTCCATGCAATCTTGTCTAGTTTACCAAACTTTGTAGTAAGCCTCAATAACTCGAAAGTTTGAAAGTGCAATTAACCACTCCATTTCCATAAAATAAGCAACAACTCCATAGCTGTTGAAACTTCAAAACTCAAGCTTAAAGCCCTATGTTGCCCTCAGAATACACAAAACTGCGAAAATATTAATAATGAAATAAAGATTCGTATATATAATTGTATATATAATATGCTGCCATTACAGAAGTGTTAATGAACACAATTTAAGATAGCATTTGAGCAAATGAATCAGAATCTCCACATCAGTAGCAAAAAATCACAGCTGAACACAAATAGAACCACAAACAAGCGCACACTCGAACACACAGTGATTTCATTCTATACAGTTGACACTTTCAAGTCATTCATACATTTAAAAACCAATAATGAAAAAATTTATTCCAATAAAATTATACTACTAAAAAAGAAAATAAGTACCCATTTTCAATCATGTAGATATTTGTATGTGAATGTGTGCGCTTTGATGCAAATAAATACTATACAAAAAGGGGCGAACAAAACACTGACTTATCAAATCAAAAATGCTTTCATTCAGTCATACAAAAATAATGAACAGCATTTGAGGCGTATTCAGTAGTTTATCTGTGTTCGTATTCATAATATGTAGGTAGGCAGGCAGGCAGGTAGTAGTACTAGGAGTCTATAAAGGATCAGAATCGATTGCCAACTTTTCATCAATATCACGTACAATCAGATCATAATCAGCTTCCAGTATTATATCAGAAAGAGCAATTTTACCGTAATTTCGGTTACTGTATTTTTGAAAAGCACCCTAAACGAAAAATGAAAAGAAATAGAAATATTGAACAGAGACAATATTTTAGAGCAAATGTAAACGTATACCACTATTGGTGGTCGCGTTAAATGTAGAAGTCAGTATTCATGGGCTGGCGGCCATTGAATCGTCTCCCCGTGGCTACGAGCTAGCTTGCGTAGTAACCAGAAGGTCCTGGGTTCGAACCCTGGGTGGTGAGTGCGTACTGCCGATGATTCTCAAACTAGGACAACAGAAACAGCTGTCCAGTACTGCAGTGGTGATTTTCAATTATTATTATTCGTTATCTAACTGATATCAACCCGTGATCGACTCGTCAAAAAAAATTATGCCACTATTATTATTATTATTATTATCATGTTTCCATAAGGTTCAAAATGGGACATAAGACTTTAACATAAAACGTCCATTTCATCCATTTTTCTTTAGTGGGATGAAGAGGGTGGAATAAAGAAAACTGTAAAACGGAAGTTTCGATGTTGTGTAGTCACAATCGATTATGTGATTATGAAGAGTGAATTGTATTCGAAACACCACCCAGAAAGTAATAATGTTTTATGTATTAGATTTCTTTGCTTTCCCACAAACTGGAGGAGCGACCAATTAGCAGAAGAAGCATCCAGAGAAGATACGACTTCCTCCACGTGTACATAGAGAAAACAGAGGTAGATGATGAAGATTCGTCGCCAACAGAAACAGGCACAGCTACAACAACAGACAAAAATCAGCCAGCATAAATGGGAAAAATCTGAGAAAAGCAACCTCCTTCACCTACCTGCCTACTTACCTATCTCGGAAGTATCGTTTCACCTACAGGCGAATGGAACTGATGAAGACATCAAAGTGAGGATCATTAGAAAATCAAGGCAAGCTTTCATTTCCCTCAACAGCACTCCTATGCGGATCAGAAACTAGGCGCCACGTCTTGAAGGGCACTTCGAAGAAACAACATACTTTCCTCAACAGCTGTCTTCGCTCAATACCACTCAAGATCCAATGGCCTGCCAGAACGATCAGCAGTTGGGAGGGATCTCTGGGAGCAAACCAACCAATACAGCAGGAACCGATTAACCAAGAAGTATTCAGGAAGAAATGGAGGTGGATTGGTTCGGCCAAACTCTGAGAACACAAACCATGAAGTAAGTGACATCACACGCCAGGCCATCATTTGAGTGGAACCCGAACAGAAAGCGACGAGTTGGTCGTCAGTCCGAGGGTGGGGTAACATGAAGTGGAGGAGGTGATGTGAAGAAGAGATGAAAGCAATGTGGGGAGATATGGAGCCAAAGGAAAGGTTATCAGAGAACCGAAGGCAATAAAGACGTACAGTTGAAGCTCTATGTTCCTCTAGCAACTAAAGGAAACAGCAATATAATAATTATAAATTCTTATTATCTCATCTACTGACTTACCACATATTCTGCTTCTTCTATATCTGAATTGGGTAGATATTTGATTACTTTTTGAATATAAATAAGTACCATTGGCAATAGTTTGACTAAACTTTCTTGTCCCATAATTTGTCCAATAGATTCTGGCCATGTTTCCAATTTCTTTGATGGATCAAGTAAAATGTTGTTGCCATTCGCATTAAGTGGATTTTCATGCCCTCTGCTTACATCACGTTCGCATTTCAAGCGTAAAAGTTCACGAGATAGGTAAAGACCAGCAGCACACTTTACAAAAGCTGATATGCCGACTGTCGAGGATTCAGTTAGAATTAATTCAAATAGATAACGACATATCAATTCAACCTATTAGGATTAAAATACAATTGGATTATACAGGTATATCTCATGATATATATATATATATATTTTAATAGTTTTTCCTTCACGTTCCCCAGATCAAACGAATTAGATCCTTAGAAACTAGCACTCGTAGAAGAAGAGACTGAATCATATAACTGAATACAGAAGGATATAAATTCAAGTCATGTAGATCAGTTCACAGAAATCCGACTAGATGGCAGGTTAGATACTTCTATGAAGAAGTGGAAAAAAGCCTTAACTTAGTAAACTTGTGTGTATCATCCAATGAAATTTTCGAATGTCTGATCATGGATTCACTTCTCTGGATCATGGTGCTTAGTCTTTATTATCATGTTGATATCTATAGATTCTTTAGTGATGGATGATATGGAGGTAGATTTAATGTCACTTGTTAAGGACTAGTTAGCTAGCGATGCACGATGTACGTTTTGTTCTGTTTCCTACTCGACGATTTCATGACGTCTCCACCGAGACTCCAAATTAAGCGTCATTCGCTTCTTATATCAAAACAACACCCAGCAGTATACTCAGCGACTATAGTTAACTTTTGTACGACGAGTAATACTTATTACCCTTTGAATCTTTTAAATTCTCAATCTCACTGGAGACACTATTTATTTATTGGGATTTAGATAACTTCTGTCTGAAGAGTCCCTGAAAGGATGAAACGCGCGTCATAGATTCCCCTGCTCTTTCACACTTTCTTCGCCCTCCGGGTGAAACACTTGGTTTCAAACTTGAGCTTTGATTTTTCTTTAGCGGTGTTTTTTTAATTTTACAAGGCGGGGATTCTACCGTCACGCCCAACCTTCTCTCTTACCCAAAATAACTATTGATCAGGTAGGTTTTAGGTGTGTTTTACCCAGAAATCAAACTCGGATCGCATTCTACCACCGAACCACCGAAGCAGGATTCCAGCCTGAATTACTTTCAACCAAAAAATTCCCTCAGCAATAAGATTTCACTCAGTGTTTTACGCTCCTTTTTTTTCTCATGCCATTAATTGACTCTTTCTCTTCCATTTTAGTTGGTTTGTAGCAGGTTTGATTTCTTTCAGATCAGATTTCAGTATGACGGATCATTGGTTAGGAAATGCCTGAAAACCAAATACTACTAGGAAGGTGTTTCGCGTTCTAGTTGAGGAGTCTTCAAGGGGTGAGTATCCATTACTCCATTGCGAAGATAACTATTACAACATCTTCACTATTCAAGATCATCCTGACGATAAATTCTGATTTAAACCAAATACCTCCCTTTGTGAATTTCGACAACACAGTAAGAAGACGTAGTTTATCTGAAACGTGTAATAGAATGTGTATTAGCGCAACACATTTCGGACATTCTGATCACATATGCATACACGGTTACCTGTCAGACACATTTATATAAAAGGTGAAAGAGAATAAATCACTACATTAAAGGTCAAACTGTGTACCTGACAAGGTCACAAATAATGAGTAGGGAGATGACGTAAGAGTGTAAAAATAAGAAAAATGAAGAAAGAAGAGGGTCAAAGTATCATTCAGTGAATTTAGACTTGATTATAAATTGGATTTGCAAGGCAGGTTTAAAGTAATAACAAATAATTTTCCTTTGGACACAGGCTGAAACCTTTATATGGCCAAGGTTTCAGCAAACTTAACTATGTACCCTAACCTTGTTTTGTATATGGGCTTAAGAGCATTATTGAAATCGATCTTATGACTGATTTCTGTAATTTGCTTCGTTATAGATGATGTTGCACATCTATTTCCGGGATCAGTTCTATCCAGCGAATTTATTTGTTGTTGCGGCTACTTTGTGGAGCATGTTCCGAAGAAATAACCTGCAGAGAGCGAATGATTCTCTCTTTGTAGATGAGTCCACACATACACGTTAATTGGTGAGAACAATGGGATGTGACACTGTCGTTTGGATGCCGTGAGAGTGCAAAGGACAACATAATTGTCGTTTTCTCCACGAAGATAAGCTTCACTGCATTGTGACTACTATCAATTACCGCCTTGAGTCTTTGTCTAGTGATCAGACTTTGTTGACCACCCCTGAACAGCACGGATATCTATCAAAATCCTTTCTAAGAGCTGATTGGATTAGTAGAGTTCTATGTTAGACACTTCTGTAACGCTTAATGAATTTCGACGGATTTTGTTGTAATCTAACAATATTTCAGTAAGGTGTGATGTTTCTTCTTCAATGGTGTCGGTTGTACGTATATATGCTGAATGTCCCTGAACAGGCACTTAACTAACGCTTTTTTATAATGTAATGGACAGAAACTATGATGATTTAGATACAGTTCCATCGTTGTGGATATTCTATAGAAAGATCGTTTTACTGACCCATCTTGTTGGCGGCGGGTTATGACTACATCTAAAATCGACAAGCAATCATTATTCTCTTTCACACGTTAGTGTCAGAAAAAGTACTTATTATCACCAATGATATTTCTAATTGTCGTCGACTGACTGAATTGTGCATCAGACAGTCAGTGGGAAACGAGAAGACAGGGATATCCTGGACCGACCGATGTGAAGAACCTAGAAGACCTGGATTTCGCGCGTGGATGATTTATGTTTGATGTCAAACAAAATCGAAGACTGACAAGCGTAAACCGACCGACAAACTGGTCGAAGAAGCAGCGGTGAAGACAGGACTCTAGGCGAACATAGACAAGACGGAGGTTATGAAAATAACCAACCAACAACAACAACAGCAACATCCAGCGCCAATCACCATCAACAGGATGGATATGAAAGAGGTTACTTCATTCACTTATCTAGCTAGGAAGCATTGTCTCAACTACAGACAGTCGGAACCGACGAGGATGTCAAATCGAACGAGAATCGGGAAGGCAGGCGAGAAACACATTCATTAATCAACCTGAAACAACCAATCTGGAAACCATCTTCGTCACTCAGCCAGCATCAACAACAAAATTCGGTCGGATTTTCAATACAAACAACATCAAGTCAGTCAGCTCTTCTATACGGAAGGGGTCAGAAACTTGGCGGGTGGGCGGGTCACAAAGAATGTTTCCAACAGCTTGTTGCAGACCTTTATTAAAAACTGTCTTCGCTCTATACTGAAGATCAGATGGCCGGGCTGGAAAGAATCACCAACAAGAAACCATGGGCACAAACAAACAAAACAAGAACCAATCGCCAACCAAGAAATATGCAGGAGAAAGTGGAGATACATTGGACACTCGCTCGCTGAGGAGGTCGCTGCTGGGTGACATCGCGCGCGCGTCAGACCAATGCTCGATTGGAACCAGGCCGAAAGGGAAGCACTCAGCGAGTGGGACGTCAATGCAAGGGTGACAGCAGGGAGGAGATCGTGTGAAGAGAGAGGAGTTGAAAGAGTATGGACTAACTAACATGGATTCAGGTGAAACGTACAGCAGAAGTAAGACAGAAGCAAGTAGAGACGTGCAGTTGAAGCCCTATGTTCCACTAGGAACCCAAGGGAACAATAATAATAAGAGGACTCAGAAACTTACCTCACCCGTCATGAAAAGCATTTCCAACAGCCTGGTGCAGACGTTTATCAATAACTACCCCCTTCTGTGTCTATCTCTGTAGTGAAGATCAAATGTCCAGCCGGCTGGCCTGAAACAACAACAGCAACAACAAACTGCTGGTAGGAAACCAATCAAAATCTATTGTTGAACAACCGTGCCGAAGAGAAACACCGTGGAATGACAACGCTCTCAGCGTAGACCACAACCACTCGAGTAGAAGGTGAATGGGAAAGGACAAGTTTGGCGTGGTTGCCAGCTTGACATGGAGGAGATCGTGTGGTGGTGAGGAGGAGGAGACGAGAGACTCTACGCAATCGTGGTGTCCTCTGAAGAGGACTGCAGACGGGCTGTTGAAGCCCCACATTCCCTGTCCCAAGTGATCCCAAGCGGCAACAAAAACAACAACTGAATAACCGTGGATAGTTTATCCCTAGTTTTCAGTGTTACAATTTCCTTGAAATACTCTAGTGTGTCCTGTCACAAGGATTTCTGATGTAATCTGTATATAAATCATTTGTGCAGGTTAATACAGCAAAAGTCGCCACGTCACATCGTCAGTGTAGCAATATATACATATATGTCACTGTAAACTTTACCTTGGTTTTTCCATCCAATGTTAAATCACCACACGCTAGAATTCCTCTATCCAAAAAATGATGCGGTAAAGGTATATTTATTTCGAAGTTCAATGCTTGTAACATTTGAAGTTCACACTGTAACAGCTTTAAAAAATGGAAAGAATAATAAGAAAAGTATTAAAAATAAATTCATGATTTCATTTTTTTAAAGTTTAAACTCTGAAAAGGTTACCTAGGAAAACAATAAAACTTTTGTCGTTGAAATATTCAGGATCTAGACTTCACCGATGATATATGTGTCTGATTTCCCACAAATTGGAAGATATTCGTGTGAAAACCAACAAGTTGGAAGTAGAAAAAGCATCCAGAGGAGATTGGACTTCCTTCGGGTGAACATCGAGAAAACAGAGGTGGGTGATGAAGATTCCTGGCCAACAGAAACAGTCACAGCTACAACAACAGACAACAATCAGCCTGCATAAATGGGAGGAACCTGAAAGAAACAGCCTCCTTCACCTGCCTACCTACCTACCTACCTGGGAAGCATTGTTTCAACTACAGGCGAACGGAACCGATGAGGATATCAAAGCGAGGATCGTTGGAGAAGCAAGTCAAGCTTTCATTACTCTCAAGTCTGTGTGGAGATCTACACTCAGCACTGAGCATGAAAATGAAAATAAGATCCGGATTCTCAACCTGAATATGAAATCAGTGCTACACAGTATACGGTTGAGAAACTTGGCGCGTCGTGAGTGGCAACTCAAACAAGCTACAGACCTTCATTAACAGTTGTCTTCGCTCAATACTACTCAAGATCACCTAGACAGCTAGAAAAGGTCAGCAACTCGGAGGGAACTCTGGCAATGAGGGAACCAACCAACCCAGCAGGAACAAATAGGCAGGGAGAAATGAAGATGAATTGTCCATACTCTGACGAAACCAGCAAGTGACATTACTAGAAAAGCCCTGGAGTGGGACCCGACTGGGAAGCGGCGAGTTGGTAGTCAGTGGGAGGGTTGCTTGGAGGAGGTGATGTGAAGAGGAGATGAAAGTGTAGGAGCAGACTTGTAGCCAGTTGAAAACTCTAACAGAGACGCGCGACTGAAGCCCTATGTTCCTCTAGGAATTAAAGGAAATAATAATAATACAATAATAATAACCAAATAAGCAATATCTTTCTTAGTTGTATCTTTAAATACTAAAGATCTTACTGCCATCGTCTTGATGGTAACTGGCAGTGGAATCTAAGGTGTGCATTACCTCCTATTCCGGACACATCAGCTGGATGTACTTTCATTACAGTTGCTGATTGGGTTCCTAAGAAGAATCTAACGGTTTATCATTTGTAACGATGGATATTGGGTTCAACTTGCCACAAATGGTAATCAAGAAACGAAGAATAAATGGGTAAAATCACATACTACTGATTGACTGAGATAAGTAGTAGGATAAAGCTGAGTTCAATCAGTAGTAGTGATTTCAAGTGAGTTAGCTGTCTGAGCTGAGCCCAACCAGGTACGCAACTAATGGTCCCAGCCTCAAACAGGCGAAACAGTCATCCTGTGCTTAGATCACCTTTTGTCTGTCTAACAAGCTCTATTATTCGATATGAGTGGTACACAACTACTTACTACTCATTAAAACTCAATCAGTAGTATGTAGTGCCACACACTAATGTTTGCTTCTTCGATAACCATTAATGGAATTAATTGGATCACATAGTGTAATTTGGATAATTTGGTTTCCTATGTAAGCTGTGAGAATTGCCAGTTGCGAATTAATGTGAAAACCATAGGAAAACCTGGGAGTACTGGAAAGCTGTTTCGTTTTAATCTGGGAATCTGTATCACCATGCACTCACAGATTTGAGTTCAAACTCATAAGCTTCAAGTTGCGAGGCGAAACCATAGACCATTCATCCACTGGGCCCCTACCTAATGTTTCATGAATTCCAAAATCTCCAACCAGCAGCTAGTGTCACAGAATAAATGGTCTCACAATCAGAAGGTCATGGATTCAAATCCCAGAGGGTGTATACTGCTGGGAAGCCCCCTAGTAAGCTGAAACAACTAATTAATACTACAAGGTTTTCCAATGACTGCCTAACTAACGCCAACTTGTTATCCATTCTGTTACCAGCCAGATCTCTGCAAACTTGCAACTGATAATTTGAAAACTGTTTATCTGATTTATGGTACTAGTGGTTTGCTCAAGTAGCTAGCCGAAAATCTTGTGGTTTGAAGTGATTCGGATATCTAAGATCCCCCCCTGAATGAGTAAAGTGACCATCCAATGTTTAAATCACTTCTACCCACCTAGCAAGCACTAATGGGTGTTGTCAGTGGTGTACACTTATTCATCTCAATCAATCGGCACTATGGCGTCGGTGGTATAGTGGTTAGGACGCTCACCGACCATGCACATGGCCCGAGGTTTGATCCCCGGCCACCGATGCACTCCTCCCTGACCTCGCTAAGTCAGAAATAATGCTGGTAAATAGGAAATGTTGGGCATGAAGCAGGCTAGCAACCCCATCCTGTAAAAATAAACACTGCTACAGATACTTCAAGCCATTAGCTTGAAGTAGCCCTATGTTCCACTGGGGAACGTGAAGGAAAAACATTCGGCACTATGCAAGGACTTTAAGTTAGCTAGTACTTCACGTAACTAAGTGTTATTTAGTAGAATTCCTAAATTCCTAGATGTCATCAGCATCTTTTTCATGGAAATATTATCACAGATAGTATGTCTACCAGTTTAACGACTGACTCTAGTGCTAGTTAGTAGGTCTCGAGAAAATCTAACCTTCTTTCCCCTACTATTGAAGTGATAAGCTCTACAGAATAAGTAACAATACCATCTTCGTCGAAAATTCTATAAAATGAAGAACAAAACTATTAAAATGTGGATGCCACTTTATTTTCGATTGCAAAAATTCTGTCTTCCACTTTACATGCTCTTCTGATCTATATGCAGGTCATCATAATGAAATCGAATCAGGCAGAAGTATATATAACAAACACAGACTAAGCAGCTCTTCAACTCAGGAAATAAGTCAGAACATTTCTAAATCCTTGGATAGTTAGTCATACTTGCCGTGTGAAAACTGAAAATACCGCAATTTCAGTGAAATAATGACGTAGATATGATGGGGGAAGATTTGTAGCTCAGGTGGATGATTTCGATGTAGATTTGCCGCCTACCAGACAACATCTTCAGCGCATACTGCAACTTGAATTGAAGTGAGCTTTTACATTTCTCCACGAGTCTGTTCGTCATCTCTCCTGATGACCTTGAAGATACATGGTTGCTTTGTGTGTTTTCACACCTTCTAGGTTACTTGTATTCGAACTGATTGTTTCTTTGACTTGAACTTTGATCCTTTGTTTTTGTGAGATTTCCTTCTTATGGATTAATAAATTTCGTCTATCTCGATGTGTCTATTGATTGACGATTCACTGGGATACGAGGCTATCATAAATTCTTCAGCATTCTTCGTCTTTCCTCTGTCTAATATTTGAACGCTAGTTGTCCCAGTCGAATTGATGTCCGTGATTGTCTGTATACAGAGATATGAAAGAGGGAGTGGATATAGTGTCTTTCGTCAGCTGGTTTATGTTCTTAGATGCAAAGACGAGGTGGACATCCATTCTGATCAGTGTAGTGTTTTTCTCAGTCATCGCGATTTATTATGTAGATGGTTTTGGTTTTATCTTTCTCTATTGAGTGTTTTGGTTGACATAGAGCCAGCCAGCTGAGTGAAGTAATTTTGTTGGTTTGTGTGCAAAGTCAACTCCTAAAGCTTTGAAGAGTATTGCAGTGATTTCTGAGATGTCTTTTATATATGGTAGGGCAATTTGCTTTATGCTTTCCTTGGGGGCTTTTGGTTTGATAGGTTGGCTTGGGAGTATATATCTTTTGATGAAATTCCGTGGATATCCATTCTTTTGGAAGATGTCCATGAGATATTTTTCTTCAATTTTCCTTAAGGTGGGAGTGCTGCACTGAGTCCGGGCTGGCCCTCTTGAATAGTGTTTGTATACAATTTCTTGTGTGTGTTATTGGATTGTTGCTGTTGTAATTGATTATTTGGTGTGTAGATATGATAGAGAAGATTTGTAGCTCAGGTGGATGATTTTGATGTGGTTTTGTTCTCTGAGCTGGATGGTTAGTTTGCGAAGCTTTCAGCACCTTACTGGGTGACATCTTCAGCGCATACTTCAATTTTAAGTGAGCTTTTAGATTTCTCCACGAGTTTATTAATCATCTCTCCTGGTGACCTTGGACGTGATTGGTTGTTTGTGTGTGTTTTCACACCTTCTAGGTTACTTGTATTGGAACCGGTTGTTTCTTTGACTTGAACTTTGACCCTTTGTGTGTGAAGTTTCTTTCTTATTGGTTGATAAATTTTGTCTATCTCGATGTGTCTATTGATTGATGATTCACTGGAATGCCAAGCTTCTAAAAATTCTCTAGCATTCTTGTTATTTCCTTTGTCTAATATTTGAACGTTGTCCCAGTCGAATTGATGTCTGTGGTTGTCTGTATGTAGTGATATGAGTGAGGGAGTGGATATCATGTCTTTTGACGGCTAGCTTATGTTCGTGGATACGAAGACGAAGAGGACGTCCACTTTGGCCGATGTAGTGTTTTTCGCAGTTGTTACAGTTTATTTTGTAGATGATGTTGGTTTTGTCAAGTCAAAGAAACAACCGGTTCCAATACAAGTAACCTAGAAGGTGTGAAAACACACACAAACAACCAATCACGTCCAAGGTCACCAGGAGAGATGATTAATAAACTCGTGGAGAAATCTAAAAGCTCACTTAAAATTGAAGTATGCGCTGAAGATGTCACCCAGTAAGGTGCTGAAAGCTTCGCAAACTAACCATCCAGCTCAGAGAACAAAACCACATCAAAATATTTGGTGTGTGTGTGTTAGTTGATTTTCTATAAACTTGAGTTTCTAATTTCCCTGTGGTTGCTCGCCTGAATAAGATATCCCAAAATAGGATTTCCCCCTCGAATTCCCCTTCTCTTGTGAATTTGATGTCGTTGAAGACGTTGTTTATTAGGCTGTGAATTTTATCCAATTCGTGTCTTTTTATTATTACGAATGTGTCGTCTTAGTAACGCATCCAAATCTTGGGTTCTATCTTTGATAGGGTTATGCTTTCGAATCTTTGCATCAATGAGTCTGCAATCAAACCTGATATTGGCGGTCCTATGGCTGTTCCCTTAATTTAGCCAGCTGTTGATGAAGGTCTGTAGTTTGTTTGAAGTGCTCTTCGTGACGCGCCAAGTCTCTGATCCGTATAGTAGCACTGACTAACTTCATATTGGAGTTGAAAATCCGGATGTTAGCTCTCATGCTGAGGAGTGCTGTTGATCTCCACACAGACTTGAGAGTTTAGTAAACCATAATTCATCCATTCTGATGTTTCCAGTCCAGAAGAGACGAACATCAGTAGTAATAATAATAATAATAATAGCAACCATAAAACATAATAGCGTATTGCATCAATCTTTATATATATAAGTGAATGCATAATCAATATTACCTGTTTAGCCTTGTATGTACCCTCAGTTAGATAACACAATGCTTTTGTTGACGGTGGAAACCGTTCAACAAATTTAGCTGCAATAAATATTGCTGTAATTCCAATTAGTTGATATTCAGTTGCCAGCAGACTATTCTGTCTCCATGTATACTGGTCGACTAGATTAACAGCTAGATGAAGAGATTCTGTACGTAGATGTGAATAATGTTGAACCTGTAAAGGTAAAACAAAAATAACAACGAATATAGAAATAAAATGAGACATCATGAGAAATTCAATTTTAACTGACTTCCTTAACTTAATGCCTAATTCAATCAAGTATTGATTTGTAGGGATTTGATTGATTGGTTACAGGATTTCATGATGAGTTGACATCACTCAGAGAAACATTGGAAAACCTGCAAGGAGTACTAGACAGCCTACGTTGAAACTCTTCAGCAGTAGGCACCCACCAACAGCAGGGTTCGAACTCAGGAACTTTTGGTACAAAGCCAGCGAGATCATAGACCATTAAGCCACTAGGACCTGATCCAATGGCCTATGTCGTGAATTGGCAGAAGTTAGAATTCATAGACCATTGGATTGGGTCCTAGTGACTTAATCGTCTACAATCTCACTGACCTTGTAACCAGAAGGTTTTGGGTTCGAACCCCAGTGGATACGTACTGATGAAAAGTTTCAAACTAGGATAAAACAGCTGACAACCGCGTACTCTCAGGTAATTTTTCAAACGGTTATCTAACCGATGTCAGTCAGCTGATGATGAAATCCTGTAACCAAGTAATGGCTAATTGTAATTCATAGACGTAATGACTTCAATATCCAAAGCTTGGCTCTTCATGAACTTTTGATGGATGTGTACTGATGAAAAGTTAAGCATTAGAGAGAGAAGAAAGACAGCTTTCCAAGGAATTCGGCTACCCGTGTGCTTTTTGCTAACTATTTTGGAGTTTGGTGAGACAATTGAATCAAAGGTGTGAATGCATAGAATAATAATAGTGGTAGTACAGAATGCAATTAAAAAATTAAAATGTTTGTGATTATAATCATAGTTAAATGTCAAGTAGCAAAACAATTAGTGTCATATATATAGAATAATTCATAAGATGCATAGGACTTATAGAATTACAGAATTTGCAGGCAATTAGGATAAAAATAAAAACCTGGGAGTACTGGACAGCCGTTTCGTCCTAGTTTGGGAATCCTCAGCAGTACGTACCCACCGGGATTCGAACCCAGGACCTTCTGGTTACAAGGCCAGCGAGCTCGTAGACCATTGAGCCACTGGGACCCGATCCAATGGTTCTTGAATTCTAACTTCTGCCAATTCACGACATAGCGCGACCACTTCGCAATGTCTTCTTCGATGAGTTACTGACTCATCTTCGACCTGCTGTACCCTACTGATGCTCACTAGTGACTGGCCCTATTCAGGCAGTTAACCTGGGGTTCTAGTGGGAAGCCGTGACCAGTAGGGTACAGCGGGTTGAAGATGAGGCAGTAACTCATCGAAGAAGACATTGAGAAATGGTCGCGCTATATTATACGTGAACTGGCAGAAGTTAGAATTTATGGACTGGTCATTGGATTGGATCCCAGTGGCTCAATGGTCTACGAGCTCGCCTTGTAACCAGAAGGTCCTGGGTTCGAATCCCGGTGGGTGCGTACTGATGAGGAGTCCCAAACTAGGACGAAACAGCTGTCCAGTACTCCGCAGTTTTTCCAATGGTTCTCTAACTGATGTCAGCTCATGATTCAATCTTCCATGCAATCAAACAAATCCCTACAAAAACCAATACTTGAAAAAATGAAAACGTTACGTAATATTGTGTGAAATTTAATAGCATAGAATTTAACATTGCAAAACAAAGTCGATTTAGAATTACAAGTGGAATAAGTGAAATAATACCCGGGGACAATTCAAAGTGTGAGTAGTAATAACAGCGGTGGAAATTGACGTAATAAAGGAAGAGTATACAAAGTGAATAAACAAAACGAAAGATTAGTAGAGCTGAAATATGATTAGGGATTACCCCATACTTTAGCATAGAGGAATTAAGACCATGAAAGTTGGAGGGGTTGAACGAACTTCTTTCTGTATACAGAGATCTGGATTTACTGTTTCGATAGCCTAAGATGGCTTTAGCAATACAGATGAGTCGGGTACGTAGTGATTTTGGTAAATTATTGTTTGCCTTGTAAATGAATTTAAAGGCTGAGGCTATTGAGATAGGGTGATCATTATCGACCAAATGTTCAATGATCGCGCTTCTTATAGCTCCATTTCCACCTGTTCGTAACGATGTAGGATAGTGTTCTTGCACCCTCTTGGAAAACACTCCAGTCAAACGACCGATATACTTAGCTTTACACGGGCCGGTGAATTGATTAACGCACACAGAGTTAGTCAGCAGCGGGATCTTATCCTTCAGGTTATTGAACAACAATGGCCGACTGGTAAACGTTCGTTTCAGAGACTGTGATATCCTTCTTTTCATGATATATGAAGCTAATTCACCTTTGAATTCCAAGCTCATATACAATATTTTCTTGGGTACGGATGATAGGTCACATTTCATAAAATTTGACTGTATATTCTTGTCTATATAACGCCTTGGAAATCCATTTTTTAATTAGGACTTTTCCCAAAAGATTTAACTCATCCTCCACAGTATCAGGGCTACATATGCGCCGAATGCGAGCAACAATCGACCAGATTAAGTTTCGTTTTCTACGAATGGGTACTCAGCTGTAGAAATTTGTCAGTTGACCATTCCATGGCAGCTTTCTATAAATCGATCTCTTCAGAGTTCTATAGGTCTTCCTTGGGAAATTCACACCAAGTAAATGAATACTAGACTCGTCCTCCATTTTGAAGGAGTGGAATGGGATTCTGACGACATTTTGGAGATAAAATAAAACCTTCCATTGTCTAATCTCATTGCTAGTTATTAGGAAGTATATAATACTGACATTCAGAAAAACAGGCTAATTATACTACCTAGCCACTCAAAGCTCGATAGGTAAGGGGGGCGGTGGAAAGCCAACTATTGACCCAGTGAGTGGGAGTTTACAGCCTAATCCAGTGAATTGTAGTTAGATGGTTGGAAGCATCTGGTAAGAAGCCATGCCCGGACTTAGGTTACGTGGCTGTCGGCATTCACTGGTCAGCAAAAGATGTATCTACAATCTTGAAAGAACTAATACCTCTTATGCGATTCAAACCCATATCATCCAATACTACAGTCAGAGACGTTACCAGTGTGATATTCGGGCTCTCAGTAGATATTCTGCATCACTGTAGTGGATGCGTTCACTGGATACAAGATAGTTACTAATATTGCATGCTTAGTCCTTAGTCTGGTGCAGACTGAATTCTGTCAGTCAAGTTTTTGAAATATGACCATCGTGCTAGGGGGACCATCATCATGTGTACCTTGAACTGTTGTTATCAGATGGTTGGAAGCAATCGTCAGGAAGCCTTGAACCTAAATTTCATGCTTGCTTGCTCTACACTATTATTTAATGTTAGTCTCTTGTGATACCATTTTTAATTCTTCGGCACTGGTCTTAATCAACTAACATAGTTTGTGAATGTATCACACCGACCAAATCGTCGAACGGCGGGTTTTCAAAATCAGCACTTATATCCAGGGTGAAGAATTAAAGTTTGATATCGTATGAGATTTAACTGTTTTGAAATTATTCTAGTTTAGTAGAGAATATATAAGATTTTTCGATTAACATCTGAACCTTTCAACGTTGTCACTGACAATAATGATTTAATAGATAATAATTATTATTTTATTATTAATTTCTTTAATTCCTAGAGGAACATAGGGCTTCAGCCGCGCGTCTCAACTGCGTTCAGTGTTCTGTCAACGTTCTCGCCCCTCTCCAAATCTCGCCACATACTTTCATCTCCTCTTCACATGACTTCCTCCAAGTCACCCTTGTACGACCAACTCACCGCTTCCCGTTCGGGTTCCACTCTAGTGATGGCTTGTCTAGTGATGTCACTTCATGGTTTCTTCAGAGTATGGCCAACCAATCCATCTCCATTTCTTCCTGCTTATTTGTTGCACAATTGCTCCTGCTGAGTTGATTCGCTCATTGCCAGATATCCCTCTCTGTTGCTGGTCTCTTCTGGCCAGCCATCTGATCTTGAGTTATTAAGCGAAGACAACTGTTAATGAAGGTCTGAAGTTCGTTTAGGATGCTCTTTATGACGCGCCAAGTCTCTGATCCGTATACTGAGTGACACTGACTGACTTCACATTGGAGTTGCAAATCCGGATCTTATTTTCATTTTCATGCTGAAGAGTGCTGTTGACCTCCACACAGACTTGAGTGTAATGAAAGTTTGTCTTGCTTTTCTGACTTTTGCTTTGATATCCTAGTCAGTTCCATCCGCCTGTAGTTGAAACGATGCTTCCCAGGTAGGTGGGTAGGTGAGGGAGGTTGTTTCTTTCAGGTTCTTCCCATTTATGCTGGCTGATTGTTGTCTTTTGTTGTTGTTGCTGTTGGTGTTGACCAGCAATATTCATCACCTCTGTTTTCTCTATCTTCACCTGAAGTCCTAACACTAGATAAGGCAGATAGATATTGATTTTTATTCCTCATCTGATCTCCCCTTACTCTCTATGCTTGCCTGATTTTCTGATTATGGATCGTTGTGACACAGTTCTACTGTCTATTTTGTTAACTCATCATGACAATGTCATAGATGGAATTCACTCTGGATACCACACAGTAATTTGGACGAATCCTTAATTCAGGATTTGAGCGTTATTCAACCCTTTAGTCTATTTGATTACAAATGCCACTGTTGAATATCGTTCCAAATTTCTTAAAAATAAATCTAAATCTGAAATGTTAAACTACTTCTTCCTTTCGGGTTTGACGGCGGACTGGTATCAGTTAGGGAACCAATGAAAACGAGGGGTTACTGGGAAGCTGTTTCGTCCTAGTGTGGGACTCATCATCAGTACGCGCCTACCTGGATTTGGACTCAGGACCTTCCAGTTACAAGGCGAGCTCATAGACCATACAGCTACTGGCTACATGTATGTAGATATCTTACTTTCAATGATAATGATTTACTCACTTCTTGTAATTGCCCAGATTATGAAAGTCCTGATTAGCTCATATGTAAAGTTTGATTTCCGGAACCCTTAAAGATATTGCCAAACAGCTTTTATGGTCTTGAATAT